AAGAGAAGATGAAGGTGACCGGGAATCCACATTCTCTAGCGACATTACCGGCTACAGCAAAAGCGCTCGTTCCAACAACAGGCACGGATCTCAAGACCTCTCAAAAACCGACAACTACTAGACGCAAGGCCCGAAACCCGAGCCTGAACCGTCTGAGGAGGACTGGAGCTCCTGTTGGGAGACGGAGCAGGCCGGAGACTCCTCTGCTGAAGTGGAAGATCGAAGATAAAGGGAGAGAGCGAAAAGGTGGTGCCGATGTCAACGGCGATGGTGACGATGATTATGATGTGGAGAAGGAGAATCGCCGGAGGAGTCGGAGGCGGAGTGCGAGGGCCGTGTCGGCTAGGAAGCTCGGGGCTGCTCTCTGGAGACTGCAGCTTCCGGAGACTGTCACCGGCGCGGGAGAAGAGAGGAAGAGGATAGATCGCTTAGGGTTCGAGGTGAATTGATTTTTTTGGACTGTTTCCTCTTTTGTCTTCCTGATCTGTTTTATTCGTGTTGAAAGTTCTAGGTAGGATTGAAAAAATAGAATGAACACTTTTGCATTCATGATGTCGATTGACTGATTTCCGAATTGAGTGATTGAGGTCTGATCTTCAAGCATTGAGTCTTTTCCTGATTCTGTCTGTAGCCTGTTTTTGTTTTTGTGATTATAATGAGTATGACCTTGTTGTTGCTTAGCTTTGAAGTTGAAGTCTCTGACTTATGTGAGATTTGAGCTGATCTATCTTTCTCATTGTTCATGATTCTTTTAGCCCAAACTGTGCAATCCTAATTAGTAGAAATGCAAAAATGACGTGGGATTGATTATCATAGAGATTTGCTTTCCTAGGGATTGCATTGATGTAGTCATTTATCATTGCCTCGCTTTATTTCGAGTCGCCTCCCCAAAATTCAAAGGCCTGATCAAAAGAGCCAGAAGCTGGGGCCTAAGCCGGAGCTTCTTTCTATTTCCTAGGGGGCTTGGGTGTTCTCGTTGCAATTGGTCTCATACTAGTATAGGGGCTGTCTCAGTATTGCTCATTTCCCTCTCTTGGACATTAATGGTTCCTAAAATTTACATACATAGAAAGGTTCATAATTTTTTTGGAGCATACCCAAAGCACCTTGTTCGTACTCGTGTTTAACCTTTTTTTTAATGACTTCCAGCAGTTCTACTGTTTGCTTCATCTTTTATTTGATATGATCTAGTCAATGAAACGAGTCTTAAACTGAGCTTTAAACTGAGCTTCTCCAAATCTCCTTATGGCTGGCTCTTACCGGCTGCAGAAATTGCATTTTTAACTTCTTTGTTATGATCTATGATATTCTGGATCATACAGAAACCATGTTCATGCATCTGAGATTCATATGGTACAACAATTGGACATTTATACATTTCCTTGGATGACTCCCGAGAATTCCTGGAGAACATCTATCTATATTAGATCCCGATAGGTTACATTTTTTTAAAAAGATCTTGATAGGTTAACTTTAGTGCAGCAGTTTGCTAAGAACATCAATCTCAGAGAAGTTTTTCATTTTGTTGCTCTTCCTTGCAGAAAAGTGCTGGTTATGGAGGTGTTCCATTTATTTATCACTATAGTGACAAAATGTATGGATCTGAAGCAAAAGATCCATTAGAGAGTCCTAGTTCTGTCACTAAAAAAGGGAAAGGGTTTTTCAAGGTATGTTATTTCCTTAACTGAATCTATGAAAGAACTGTTCTAGTTAAGATACGGAGAAGAAAGCTTTGGAATTAAAAATTTTCATTATCCACTTTACATGCACTTTGTATTGTTCAGTTCCAATGCCCTTTTGTATTAACTTGTGAGAAAAAGATACATACCTGACAATGCATTGATCAACATTATCGATGTTGTTGGTATTTTCTTATGGCGTATCCATTAGATGCAGCTAGTTATGTAAAATTGCAGCCTGGATTTTGGTCTCAGAAACAAGCAGTTAATAGAATGAGAGCAGCTTCCTTAATTTTTATGTTGTTTAACTCGCTTTCCTAGTCACTTATCTCAGTCTGTCATTCTTTTGTAGGTTGAATCCTCATTTCAGTTTTCCAACTCTGCAATGGAGGGGGCAACAAAGTGGGACCCTGTCAATTTTGAAGCAACAGATGAGGCATGCCAGATTTACAGCCATACGAAGCTTATTGATCAGCAAGCGAGTGCTGTATCCATAGTTTCAGTCCTAGAAGCTGAACTAGAGCAGGCTCGTGCTCGTATCGAGGAGCTTGAGACTGAGCGGAGATCCCAGAAAAAGAAACTTGAGCATTTCCTGAGGAAAGTTAGTGAGGAAAGAGCTGCATGGCGGTGTCGAGAGCATGAAAAAATCCGTGCTTTTATTGACGACATCAAGGCTGACTTGAATCGAGAAAAGAAGAATCGCCAGAGGTTGGAAATCATAAATTCGAAATTGGTTAATGAGCTCGCAGATGCTAAGGTATCAGTAAAGCGATATATGCAAGACTATGAAAAAGAAAGAAAGGCCAGAGAGTTAATTGAGGAAGTATGCGATGAACTTGCTAAGGAAATTGGAGAAGACAAGGAGGAGGTCGAAGCATTGAAGAGGGAATCCATGAAGCTAAGGGAAGAAGTGGAAGAAGAAAGGAAGATGTTGCAGATGGCTGAGGTCTGGCGTGAAGAACGTGTTCAAATGAAGCTTGTTGATGCTAAGGTGGCACTTGAACAGAAATATTCACATATGAACAAGCTTGTAGCAGATTTAGAAAATTTTCTCAAGTTGAGAAATGCCAACCCAGATATAAAGGAAAATAGAGAGGCAGAATTACTTCGGCAGGCTGCTGCCTTGGTTAATATTCAAGAAATTAAGGAGTTTACCTACAAGCCGTCTAATCCAGATGATATTTTCTCTGTCTTTGAAGATGTGAATTTTTGTGAAGCCAATGAAAGGGAAATTGAGCCTTGTGTTGCATATAGTCCTACCAATCATGCCACAAAATTTCACACAGTGAACCCTGAAGTCAATATGATCAACAAAGATGGCACGCAGAGACATTCAAATGGATACATCGATCGGAATGGTGATATTGAAGAAGATGAAAGCGGGTGGGAAACTGTGAGTCATCTCGAGGATCAGGGCTCAAGTTATTCGCCCAATGGAAGTATCCCATCTGTTAACAAGAACCACCGTGATAGTAACGTGTCAGGGAGTGGAACAGAATGGGAAGAAAATGGATGTGAAGAAACACCAATTACTGAGATCAGTGAAGTCTGCTCTGTGCCCAATCGGCATCCAAAGAAGGTATCATCAATAGCAAGGCTTTGGAGGTCATGTCCGAATAACGGGGAAAACTACAAGATAATTTCTGTGGAGGGACTGAATGCCAGGCTTTCAAATGGGAGAAAATCCAGTGGTGCCGTCATGTCACCAGATCGAGGTTCAGGTAAAAGTGGACTCAGCCCTAATGATATGGTAGAACAATGGAGTTCACCAGATTCTGGTAATCCTCACATAAGAGGGATGAAAGGGTGTATTGAATGGCCTCGCGGGGCGCAGAAGCATAGCTTGAAGGCGAAGCTTTTGGAAGCAAGGATGGAAAGTCAGAAGGTTCAGTTGCGGCATGTTCTTAAACAGAAGATCTAGGACTGAGACATAAGATTTTTTATTGCCAAGCTCAGCTCATGGGAAATAGCAGACAGAAATAAGTCCAATATATATCTTTCAACCATGAAAGCATCAAAATGAGTAAAGCAGCCCAACAGTTGGTTAAGGGAGCTCGGTAACAAGGGCACTGGGTCAGCCCCATTGATTTAGTATTACTCAGTTCTCTGTAAACTCCTATGCTAGGCTGAGATTTTTGTTGCATCTCTGGCAAGAAAGTACCCCTGGACTAATGTGATCCTCAATGGAAGAGTTGAATTCATATGAAGGAGATTGATTAAATGGGTATCTGCAGATTATTCAGGAAAGAAATTATGTAATATGTATTGTATTTTCAAAATCTGAGAACATCATCCATTTAAGAAAAGACCCATAAAATCATGGTAGAAATTCAAATGCATAGCGATCTAGTCTTCATTATTCTGTTTTATTCTGATTAGAGTAGTCCCTAAAAATCTCACGAGAACAGATTATTGTAACGACCCAGAGGCATTCTATTCTAGCTAAAGGAATGCCGTAGGAGAATACAGAATTTAAGGCGTCTAAAACTTCGAGTTGAAATTTTTTTGGTAATATTTTGATTTCTAAAAACGAAACTTGTTTCAAAGTTTTATTGAATGTCTTCCTCCATAAACGTAGAATTGCAAGTATGTGAATGTATGAATTAGTCCCTTTTTTCTAAAATCATTAATGAGCAGATACATGTCTATTTCAACCCATTTTTGGTGTCGTGTTGGAAAATGAACAGGACACGGTTAACTATCATGAAGTACTGGCAGGAGATCATAATTTTATGTCTACAAGTCATTTTCTTCTGATACGGACAAATGCAAAAATGCAGCCAACTATTTTATTCAATATATTTTTCAATTAGTATTTTATTGTAATAAGCCTCTGTCAATATATTTGGAACAAAAAAATTATTTCAAAAAATTTATCTAGAAAATTATCTTCATTTTCTATACTTACTCCAAATAATATAATATATATATATATATATATTCTAATTTTCACCAACATTAATAAATTTAAAAATAAATTAAATAAACTCATTTTCATAAAACAATTTATGGCTATCTAGGACATGACGTAATACACTTTCAAGGCTAATCCTGTTACTGGCATGATCAATAGCTGCTCCTGCTAAACCCGGAAAGAGCTCGTCAGGTGGTTTGTGCCTAACCATGGTTGGATTACGATCAACATGGATGGGGCGCGTCGTTCCAGCATCAACTGGTACCTAGGGTATTTAGCAAGAACATGGCATTTGTTTCGTCTTACAAGCTGAACTTTAGAGCGCCCTGGACAGTCTGGACATGGCCTGGAATCTGGGCGAGCACAAAATTCTTCTGGATATGGATAGCTTGCTTGCAGTGCAGATCCTGAACAAGGTTTGCCTCAACGAGCCTTTCCACACCAATGTCAGCTTCAATCTGGTACAAACCATCAAAATGCGTTTAAATGGGATTTGGGTCGTTCGAATTCACTACGTTTACAGAGAAGGGAACTAGTGTACTGATTTCTTGACCAACCATGCTTTCTTGGTGTCCCCCGATTTCTATTTCCAACTCTCAACCTTTTGTGGCTCTTCTCACCCTCACCAGAGATGATCTCCTAGGCGTATCATGGCCTAGAGTGCAACACCTAGTTTTGTTACTGCTATGTTTTTCTTTCTTCTGTAACCAAAAAAAAAAGTACTTGTTTAAACTAAAATTTTCGAATAAATTTCACCAAAATTATTTGTTCATTCCAAATATAAATTCACTTTCCACCGGGTCTTTTACCATGTGCTGTGGTGAGGAAACTAGCTAGTCCTTCGCATGAATATGCTCTCTAAAAGTCCAAAGCATTTTCAAGTGAATATTTCACCATTTTCAGTAAAAACGACACTGTCCCTTGTCATCTGATGCAAAATGATATGTGTTTACAACAACAGAGTACCGGGTAAAATGAATATAAAACATTTTCTTCCTTGTCATCAACAATCTAAACCAGATCATTCAGTCAATTTCCCCAGCAAATAATTCAATGACCTCATAGAAAATGAACATTTCCCTTGTCTTCTTCAGTTGTTTTTGTCCGACTATCATCTGTATTCCTGAAAATTGACATGTCCTGTTGCTTGTGCATGCTCTACCGCCTCCTGATCAGTGAAATATTATTAAAATAAAAAATAAAAAAATTCAGTCAGAAAACCTTATTTCTTTCTAGATACATATGGGCTGACAAAGAAATAAATCAAATCTTGACAACAAAACCACTAAAATTTATAGATTAGTTTAATGCTAAATTCAGATAATGATGAACTAAAAGACAATCCACTTAAAATTGACTTGACTAGTTATTATCCACCTTAACTAGTAACTCATTTGTAAATGAATTTGTGTAAAATTCTTTGTATATATGACATTATTTAATAAATTAAACAGACTAATATGAGTATATATACATGACTTTCTGGCCGACAACACCAATCTGGCAAACTCCACAGCGCAAAGTAAAGTTGGCAGGATCTGTATATCTTCTTTTCCTAAAAAGTATGGCTATATGGTGTTAGAAAAAAAACAATCTTTGCATAATCAGCAATATCAAAAAGGACGAAAACAAATGGAATGGCTTATAATTGCAAATACATATCTGAGAGAACATCTATTCAACAGAATTTAGGAATAAAAACTTGACAAAGAGAAAATGAAAGACTTATAGACTAAATAAAATCTAAAACTAAATTCTTTCATGCAGACTAAATAACCCATTCATGAAGTAGCTATTGTCTGAAAATTTAGAAATGTGCTACCTGAGAGAATATCTACTAAAAAAAATTTAGAAACAAAAACTTGACAAAAGAAAAATCAGACTTAGTCTAGATAAAATCTAAAACTAAATTCTCTCATGCAAATCAAAGAACCATTCATGGACTAATTCTTGTCTGAAAATTCAAAAATGTAATTTTTATCTTGTACATCAGTACTCCCAATCCCCAGTTGAGCAGCAGCAGCATAAACAAGTTCCAGCTCTTGATGGAACTCATGCAGATACAAGATTCATTATCATTAAAGCAATCACAGGAAACCAAGTGAGCTATACCGAGATGTTCCACCATCATTTGGATAAGCAAATTCAAGATCAAATTTCATGTGCTTAATAATGCAGCGATTCTTGCTGCAACCAGTCTTTCCTATAGGACAAAGATGTTAAACTATTCCTAAATATCCTATATAAAGACCTCCATAAGAACTAGGTGGACTACCTCTGCTGTTCCCTTACAAAATTAAGGGCAAGCCCTTCAACTGGCCCGATAGTTCTGTCTTTTCTTATAGCAAATATAGTCTGATCAAATTCCTCTGGAGCTCCCTCAGCTGGAGACATCTATTGATACAAGAATGAAACAGATCATGACAAATGCCAAGGATAAACATGATATGATACAATATCCATATGTTATACTATTCTTTTGAATGCATCTGGTGCATCACAATACATAGCAGAAACATAGAGGTAATTGCTTGTAACTATTAATTACAGGCAAAAATAAAAGAACAATTAATTATATAGAAACTGATACCAAAAATTCCTGCATGCAACACCGCCCAAAACCACTCAGATTACAAAAATGCTTCTACTGCTAAATGGAGCTTATTTGACAGAGCAAACTATTCAGATAAGCTCAACAGTGAATTTTCTTTTGTTTTTATTATTAATGTTTCTTCTTTTGTGTGTTTCAAATAAAACCAAGAGAGAAGATCCTCAAGATTAACTGGTTAAGAAAGGAAACAAAAAGTTGAACTTTTAAAACCCTAGACATCCTATCACTTATTCTGCCTGACTATTCCTACTGTTTAACAACCACAAAGAATGAAAGTGATAAATTGACGGTAGCTCTAGTGGTGATGATGTGGTGATGGAGATGATAATAAGGAGAAAATTGATAAAGGAAGCACCATACAACTAGAGCATCATAGTGGAGTCCATCATAAATCAGCATGACCCTTTCAGAATAATCATTTGCCTGTCCACAAGCACAAAAGAAAAATAGAAATGGAATATTTAGTACTTCTAAGGCAAATAGAATTAGATCCACAAAGATGAATGGACATGTTCGTTTATACACCTGACCATACAAATCACACCGTATAGTCTGAATATCATATGCTGCAATTTCACGTCCATAGTAATCCGCCAATATAGAAAGCTCAATGGCACCTAGAAAGTAGATGAACAATAAACAGATAACCGACCTAAATGAAAACAATGGGACTTAATTGTTTATAAATTAACAAAAAAAAGCGTGACCATGGAAATAAAAAAGCTTTGCAATGATCTGATCGGGCAAAAATAAGGTATTTCAGGAGAGTACCTTGAAAATCCAAAGAACCTAAAAATTCTTAAACGTCTTATCCTGAAATAGAGCTGACTATCAGAAGACAACCGTTAACTCCTACAATAGACATTACATACAACCAAGTCTCCCTATTGTTTTATGCTTCGGAAGGGGGAGGGAGGGGGATGGAAGAGAAGACGCCCTGGTTTGCTTACAGTTAAGAGAATTCAGTTTTCCACCATATCCTTGGAATCAAACAGAATCACCAGCATATCAGAAAGCAGTTCAACCAGATTTAAAAAAATAAACATAAAGGAAAGAAAGGCAAATTAATTGTCTCAGAAATGCTGCTGCACCTTTGGCCAATAAACAACCAACAAGAAATGCTTCCTCTGCTAAATTAAGTACTTGGAGCACCTAGAAAACATCTGAAGGACTGTAGATGAACATCCCCACAACACAGGGCAGCAAGTTCTGAACAACAAGTACCATATTATCATTGCTCTAACACCAAGCTAAGACCTTGTTTGTTAGATTCCCTCGATAGGCCATGCAATTATGGTCTATGAACATGCTATTTTTAAAGATAGGAAATGAGGGTGAAAAAAATGTTTAAGCTCAGGAGTAAATTTGGAAAAGTATTGCTAAAATACCCGAATATCACCTTTAAGATGAAGGAGTACCTTAACATGTATTTGGACAGACCAAAGGAATCAATTACAGGTCCAACTTCCATGATAACCTTCCAAGGAATGCCCCAAGATAAGATCTTGCTTGTTAGGTATCCCTTGATAGGCAATGTTATGATCTATAAACCTTATGAAAGCAAAACAAAATTTTAAGCTTCCATAGGCCAATGTTATTATATGATCTATCAACCTTATGAAAGCAAGACAAAATGTTTAAGCTCAGGAGTGAATTTGGAAAAGTATTCCAAAAATACACGAATATCGCCTTTTTTATAAGGATGCACTACCTAAACATACATTTCGATAGACGAAAGAAATCAATTACAGGTTCAACTTCCAAGATGACAACCTTTCTTTTTTTCTCAGTTATGCAATGCCCACCTACCCCAAATTGCAAAATCCAGCAGACAGCATGCTTGCATGCGGGTAAACACAAACGTAACATTTCTAAACAGGAAGGACTTCAGAAATTTAAATGCTATCAATTGAAACTTCTCAATGACAAAAGTTAGTCATTGTAATGTGAATTTTCACTTTGGCTCCACTATTTACAGAATCCTTCTTGTTTTCAATAACCATGTCAATACCAAAGTAGGCCAAATAAAAGAAGAAACATGTTACACCCACCTCCCCACTTATCGGAGTCAAGAATCCAAGCACAATACTCTTCGTTTGATTTCCCAAGATATGCTTCAGAATATCTGGCTGGATCACTTGCCACTGTTGCAGCTATAACCTAAAGAACACATTGATCATATAACGGTAAGGAAACAAGGCATCAACATAATATATCAATATGCGACTGAAAAAATGACCATCCATTTCGTAAGAGTAATCCATTTCTTATTATCTTTACTCATCTAAGAAAGAACAGTTAAAAGCCTTACTAGCATTTCAGGCACAAAAATGAGTATTTTAAACAGATATTTTTTATTATATGGAAATCTGAATGCTAGCACTCAAAAGTTCTCAACTTATAATAATTGGTTGTCTAAGTTGGAGATCACTTTTAGGTACTTCTATAGGAGAAAAAAGATCTCTAATCAGTATTTGCAATTCTTACTCAACTGGGAAGCATGAATAGTTGTAAACTCATACCAGATAACTAATATAAGCAATTATCCAGTGGAAAAAACTCATATCAAAAGTTGAGAACTGCACCAGGGCTAGGTGCAAAAAAAAGTTGTTGGATGTAAATGTCAAGATGTCAGCATAATAGGATATAGCATGATGACTCCACAATATATGATTGATGGTCTTATTATATGCCCTGACACTTATGGTCAGAAGCAATACTGGGAAAATGCTTGAAAGAAATTTGCTCCGGAACATCACTCATTCAAAGTGGCTTTGGAAAAGAAATCCACTAGCATGCTACTCCCAGAGATGTCACTTACTCAGACTAGCTTATGGAGAGATTCAGTAGCATGCTATCAGCAATCTCTTGGAATCAATCATCATCATGTGATATGTTCTCTTCCATTTGCTTAAATAATTTGGGAGGGACTCATTAGGAACCAAAACAAGCATTGAATTCTGGAAAGGGAGGTTCAAATACAGAGAAAAAGAAATCACTTGTCACGATTGGTTTGCACGGAGGAAAAATCAAAATGAGGCAGAAGGAGGGCAAGGACCGCACTGATATGTCACAGCATTGACACTGCCTATGAAATTAAAATAAAGCCAGGGCAAACCAATTACTTAACCCCCAAAACTAAATTACCTAAGTTTCAAAGTACCTGCTACACAACAAAATCAGTCGAGTTATCTCCCTAAAAACTTTAGCTATTGTTGATTATGCAATTTCTTTAATTTTACAATTAATTTCGATCAGATGTAGAGGTAAAATAAATACAAAATCCTGGTACACATTTTATTTTCAATCTTGGAGGTTGCCTTTGTTTAAGTCATATTTATAAGCAACCAACTTAGTTGAATCCAGAAAGCTTCATAAAATCACTTTGACTTTTTCAACTTCAAGGTCCTTTATATAGGATTTTGGAATTTCACGGGGTTTAATTGTTTAAACAATAAAAATATTTAGAAGTGACAGAGAAAGTTCCCATCAAAATTAAAGGTAGAGTTAACAGAAGGGATTACTTAGGAAAAAGATGGAATTTTTAGGTAATATGTTGATTGGCTATAGAAATCAATCGGGGAGCAAGTAATTGATTCTCCCAACAATGCCTAGATAAGGCCAAAAGTAAAGATCGGTTTTCTAGAAAACCTAATAATCAGGAAAATATATTATGCAGAATGGGCTAGCACTAGATTTTTTAAATAAATTAAAAATTGTAAGTATCATAGTAAATGTAAAATTATCGTAGACATCCATTTTATATTATTTAAGGGTATTATTGTGTAACTCAATCAACTTTTAGGTGCAATGCCTAAGAATTCTTGGTGTGATATCTAGGTTTCTCTCTAATTTCTTAGTAGGCAAATTAACCATAGTTCGTCATACATCAATTTTGGTATCAAAGCTAAAAGAGTCCTACACCCACATTCCCAAAACCCTATACCCAAATAGCCTCAAATCTATCTGAAAAATACATAAAATATATATATAATATCACCAAAAAAAATAAAAAAACCTTAAAACAGTTGCCGGCACCGTTCAATAGTCACCTACAAGAGGTGTTTGACACAGCCCCACATCAGCTCCAATAGATCTCTATTGGCTGACCCCCGAAGCCCCACCATGAAACTCCATCGGAAACCACCGCAGTACTGGCACAAGCCCCAACAGTCGCTGCCTCTCGCGAATATGGACTTTTGCATCCTTCTGACCTACACAGGCCTCCTATTTGAGACTAGCACCTTCAGTTGAGCCAACTGACAAACAATTGCTGTTTTCTGATGATTGGGAGCCTAGAACATGAAGCCTATGCGTGCGCACCTGTGAGTGGGCCTTTCTATATCGTGCTCTGTTTTTACTTTTTGAACCGGGTTTGACCATATTGCTTCACCCAGACTGGTCTATCTTCTCTTAGACCAGTTCTCGGCATTTCAAAAGGAGCTATTCTTGTCTACTCTTTTTATTTTGCAGTCTCTATTAAAAGTGTATGATGGAACAAGTTTGAAGTCTGTGGAATGGTGAGCAAACGAATGAGTCATCACTCAAAAATATAAGATCGGCAAGTCTTTCCTTATTATAGTTAAGCATGATTATGGAGTTAACATAAAAAGAGATCCAAAATATCCCCTGTAATAGCCTGGTGGAGTCAAAGGGAGAGTGAGAGAGAGAGTCAAATAAATGAGTGGTGAGGATTAGAGGGTAGAATTTGATGGGAAGAATAAATATAAAAGGAAGT